AAAAACTATTTTTAATATGGGAATACGGTACTTTATCAAAAAAAACTATTTTTAATATGGGAATACGGTACTTTTTCAAAAAAACTATTTTTAATATGGGAATACGGTACTTTATCAAAAAAAACTATTTTTAATATGGGAATACGGTACTTTTTCAAAAAAACTATTTTTAATATGGGAATACGGTACTTTATCAAAAAAAACTATTTTTAATATGGGAATACGGTACTTTATCAAAAAAAACTATTTTTAATATGGGAATACGGTACTTTATCAAAAAAAACTATTTTTAATATGGGAATACGGTACTTTATCAAAAAAAACTATTTTTAATATGGGAATACGGTACTTTTTCAAAAAAACTATTTTTAATATGGGAATACGGTACTTTATCAAAAAAAACTATTTTTAATATGGGAATACGGTACTTTTTCAAAAAAACTATTTTTAATATGGGAATACGGTACTTTATCAAAAAAAACTATTTTTAATATGGGAATACGGTACTTTATCAAAAAAAACTATTTTTAATATGGGAATACGGTACTTTATCAAAAAAAACTATTTTTAATATGGGAATACGGTACTTTTTCAAAAAAACTATTTTTAATATGTGAATACGGTACTTTATCAAAAAAAACTATTTTTAATATGGGAATACGGTACTTTATCAAAAAAAACTATTTTTAATATGGGAATACGGTACTTTATCAAAAAAAACTATTTTTAATATGGGAATACGGTACTTTATCAAAAAAAACTATTTTTAATATGGGAATACGGTATTTTTCAAAAAAAACTATTTTTAATATGGGAATACGGTATTAATTTTAAAAACATGAGTTAACTATATATATATATAAGATAGTTTAAATATATATTTGAGTTATTACGGTATTATTTCATATATAAATTAAAAAATATTATTTTCTTAATTAGTGACATAATTGATGCCCATTTTGATCGATAGATGTATTGTTTATATTATTTGTTATAATTTATCCGTCCGTTAAAAGGTTGATATATCATATGTATTTTGACTCTCATATTATCATCTGATAAAACTATATATATGAATATATATTACAATAAGCGCACATTCATACCAACACTTTCAAAACAAAACATTAAAAAATTTTAATAAGCAATAGAAATGACAATAAAAAATGCTTATAAATACATATAATCATAATAATTTTTTTTTAATTTTTGCAATTTAAAAAAAAATTATTATATTAAATAATTGAATATAATGTGATTTTTAATAATTTATATTTTTTGCTATTTATTAATTAATTTTTATAATAATTATTATCAATGTTAAAATACTTAATATATATATATCAGGGTTAAGCAAGGTTTTGGATTTTAGGGGGGGGGGTAGACCGGGGTAAAATTTACAAAATTCTCGAAAAATCTTGGGGGGGGGGTATTGGGTGGGGTAAGATTTTTATTGCATTTTTAAACAGCAATTTTTTCAAAAATCCAAAATCAAGGGGGGGTGTCAAGAGAAAATTCCCTAAAAATTCCTTAAGTTCCCGAATATTCCCATGTAAATTCAATAAAATTCCCTTAAGTTCCCGTATAAGTTCCCGGGAAAATAGGTAAAATTTCCAAAAATATAAAAAAAACTTAAAAATTAACAAAAACTTAAATTTTAACAAAAAATAAATATTTTTTTAAAAAAAATTTAAAAATTAATAAAAACATTTTAACAAAAAATAAAATAATGTATTTAAGATTTAAAAATAGTTGATAAAAGCATTAATGATACACTATGAGTTATTTTTAGTATTTTAATAATTTTTAACTTTTAACATAATTAATTATTTAAATAATACTTAATGTTCATAGTTTATATATATAATTTTATTTTTTAATATTATTTTTATATAAATACTGACTGAATACTAATTATTAAATTCAAAATTTTTAAGATTTTTTAGTTAAAATTTTAAAAATTATTAATAAAAACCTTGTAATATAAGTATTTATTGTTTTATTAACTTATTAAACTACCTTAAACTTATATTTAAATTTTAATATGATTACTTTTTTCAACAAATAGGTAATTTTTAATTTTTTAGTTTAATATTTTAATTAAAATTATGTTATTTTTTCATGAGTTTTAACGTTATTTTAACTATTTTATTTATTTATAATCAATAATTAGATTCATATAAATTTTAAAAACATATAAACACTAAAAACACTAAAATTAAAATTTTTTAAAACTTCAAAAAATTTTTGGCGCCTTCGGCGTCAAAATTTTAGGGGGGGGTCATTTCTCCTCGTTTTTAAGCGACATTTTTTCCCATTTGGTCAAAGTCTGGGGGGGTAAAATCCCAAAATCTCGATCTTAGGGGGGTATTTTGGCCATACCCCCCTACCCCCCCTTACTTAACCCTGATATATATATATATATATATATTTTACGTTATGTATGGTTGTCTATGTGTTACCAATTACATGATGTAATCTATCGTATAATAAACTATACAATTGTTTGTATGAAAGTGTTGGTATGAATGTGCGCTTATTGTTAAATGTTAAAATTATTATATATATATATATATAATTAAAGGTTAATATTTAATTTGGTTATCTAATGAAAAATAACTTATAATATATTACGTGATATATAAAACATATACTGTATATAACAAACCTATGTAATAAAATATAAGCCTTATAATTTTTTTTCTGGCTATAAATATATTATATATTACTAAATTAAAGTTATCTAGATATATATATATATATATATAATTAAATCACAAATCAATAGGGTGTCCATTATACAAGTGTGTCACCCTTGAGATTAAATTACTAGACATAACATAATTTACATTTAGTATTATTATTTAAATTAGTATTATTATTTAAATAAAGTACTATAAATAAAGTTTTAATATATATATAATAAAATAGTTATACACAATGAAAAAACCCCGGTGTTTATATTTAAATATAAAATCAATTCATAATATATATATATATAAATTATATACTAAGTTAAAGTATAAAAATAGCTTTTAAATTTAAAATCTACATTTTTTATTTATCCATTTCAACAAGTTCAATTTATTTATTATTATTATTTTTAATTAACAATTTATTGAATGTCAAGTTTAATACTAGTGTCTATTGTTATTTTGTGTGTGTGTGTGTGTGTGTGTGTTTAGTTGGCAATCCTAATAACTATTTTGGGTATTGATATACATATATATATATTGGATATAATTACTGTACATATTATTATATGAATCTGAACTGGTTATTAATAAATAATCAATATTATCAATCAAAAAAAACTATATGGTATGCAATTATATAATATTATTATTATTATCATCAGTGACATTTTTATCTAATTAATTACTTATATATATATAGTGTTTAGTACAATATTATTATTATTATTATTATTATTAACCGTATGTGTCAAGTATTTACAATTACAATATATATATTACCTGTATATCAAATAAAGTTAGCAATATATAAATAACCTTTAAATTTTTACATAGATAATAATAAATAATATCAATAATAATAATAATAATAATTATTATTATTATTATTATTAAATATCCGATTTCTTTAACTAATACAAAAAAATATTATTATTATTATTATATATATATATTTTATTGAACAAAAAATATCCGATTGTCTATAGGCTATTAAATTACAATAATATCAATACTAATAATATTTATGATATAAATCAATAGATAGATAGATAGGTAGAAAAAACAACATTAAAATATAATAAATAAATAAAAAATTATTATATGATATATATATATATTATATTTACCGGCAATATATAATAATATAAATTAAAAATACAAAATATAATAATAATAATAATTGCTTTTTTTGTTGAATAAGGCAATGAATTAATTTATACGGTAATTAACTGGGGGCTCATATATTTAAATACAGTGTTATTATTATTATTTTATTTTTGTTAAAAGCATTTAACAATATATAATTAACAATAATAATAAATTAATCAAATTTTGTTGCTATTGAATTGTAGTTTATATAATAAAAATAAAGTTATATATTTTCATCTAATTAAAAAAATATTTAATATTTTTAAATATAAATATCATAATTCAGTATTAATTATTAAAGTAAATAATTTATATATAAAATAATAATAATTACAATTATTATATAATATTCAAAAATCATTTATTTTATTTATTTATATCAATAGAAAATATTCAAAAAATTTAAATATACACACAAACAGAGAGAGAGAGAGAGAGAGAGAAGAAACTAAACTATTTTTAATAATAAATTTTTAAATAATATTATTATAATAATATAAAACAAAAAATAATTAACAAACAAAAATGACTGGCAGGCAATTATATAAATATTTATATTATATTATTATTAAGTTATTATTATTATTATTATAACATTTCTATACATAGTTAATATACAAACACACACACACAGTGTATATCCGAGTTTAATTAAATTAAATATTTAACAAATATTTTTGATATTTTATTAATGTATTTATATATTAAATTAAATTTTAAAAATCTTATTTTTTGTACAAATAAATAATAATAATAATAAATACAATATTATTAGTAGTATTACAGCATTAATATTATTATAACAAAACAAAAATTGCCTGAAAATATCGCTTTCGGTTTTTTAAAAAACTAAATAAAAATAACTTTCAAAAACGGAAAAATTATTTTTCAAAAAAAAATTATTTAGAAAATAATAACAACAATAAAAATTAATAATAAAATTCCAGTGAATAAAAAATGTTATTCAATATATTATATATATATATACACTATATATCTATATTATTATTATTACCGGTACTTACTGTATATATATATATTAAGTGTATATAATATTTTTATAATAAAATCTATATATATATATATATACAGGTATATCAATATAAACAAATTAATCAATTATTTTGTTATTTTTTTGAGTTTTTTTTTTATATATATATAATAAATGTTATTTCATTTTATCTTTTTTTTCGTTGTATTATTATTTGTATTATTATTATTATGCGATCCGATATCATATTGGGATCTATTTCGCCACAAACCAAACAATAGGATCAGATGAACCATATGTAAGATACCACTGCTTAGACTAGTACTCGGATAGGAGTTCCACGAGAACTCTATGAGACCCAAAAGGCACAGTCTATTCAATAAAAAAAAATAATTTTAAAAAATTAAAAAATAATAATAAATTTATTTATAAAAACAATATATTGAATATATATAGAAATTTTATATATAAAAGTTTTTAGTTTCTATATTATAATAATAAGTTATTTTTTTCAATTTAAAAAAAAGTTAAATATAAAAACCTAAAATATAAGATTAAATTATTTATTTATTTATTTTTTTTAGTATTTATTCATTGATTATTATATAATACATATTATTTAAATATATATATATATATTTATAATATATGTTTTATAAACACTTAATTTTTGCTTGAATGTATAAATTTGAGCTTGCTAAAACAAAAATCTAATTGATTTTAAAAAGTAATTTTTTTCAACAACAAAAAATTTATGATTAAATACATATTAAATAATGTCAATAATAATAATTTGTATTTAATCAATTAAAACAACAACAACAACAAAATTATACATGGTTAATTTACATTATATTGAATAAATTTTTAGTATACAGTACTTAAATAGACACTTAATATTCAACTTAAAATAAATAATTAAATTAGACTAGAAATCTAATCTTATAACAAAAAAAACTAAAAAAATTTTTTTAATTAATTTCCTAGTTCACTTTTAATTTGTTTTAACAATAATAATAAACAAACAAAAAATTTATTCAATTTGTTTATATATATATATATAGTATTTGAAATAATTTATACTGTATTATACTGTAAATAATATTGACAGTTATATACAATATTTTTTTTTTAGTTTAATTAATTAATTAATTAATTTATACAAAAAATAAATCTCTCCTTAGTTTTAATTTATATTAGACATACATTTATAATAATAATAATAATAATTAAAAAAAAATTGTCTACTATTTTATTAATACTTGTAATTTTGTTATACAGTACATTATATTCATGTTTAAAAAAAATAATAATATAAACTTTATATACTGTATATATAGTACTATACATTGTATTGATATTTTATATTAGCCCAAAAAAATTAATAATTAATAAATTTGTTAACTAATTGTTACAATAGATAAATACTATAAAATTTAATTTTATTTATTAATATATTAACTATTATTAAATACAGTATCAAATTAAAAGCCTATTACTATATTTTATAGGTTCACACATACAGTATAAATACATTAGTTATATAGTTATATAGACTATACTATACAAACACAATATAATTGTGCAGTCAATGTACTTATTAAAAGCTATAATAAATTATTTGATTTATACTGTATTTTGTTTTATTTTTAAGTTTATACTGTATATATATAATAAAAATAAAACTATAGTCAATAGTATAGTACTGTATTTTTGTATAAACAATTTCAATAATACATTTGTAATAATAATAATATGCATTGGTTTATATGATTCAAATTGTTTATTATTATTGTATTATTATTGAAACAACAATTTTCAATTGAAACTAGAATTTCTATAAAACTTTTTTATTATATAATTATTTTTTAATTAGTTTTTTTTTTAAAACAAATCAATTAATAAATATCAATAGTATTTATAAGTGGTCTCATATTATTTTTTTGATCAACAATTAATTTTTTTTTTAATTATCTGAATGTGAACAGCAAATAGTTTTTTTTAATCATCGACCACTTTATATACAATAAAATAATAATAATAATTATTATTATTATTTATATAATATTGAATGTATTTTATAGTAAAAAAAAATATTTATATATTTATAGAATATATTCTATACATAAAGAATATTATAAAAAAATTTTAATTAATTATTATTTTAAATAAAAATAAATTATACTAGCTAAATAAATAAATATATATATTAGCAAACTATTGACTATATATATATATATATATATATATATAGTATATTTGTTGGTATTATTTATGTATATCCTTTAAAAAAAATTACCCGATATGTATAGCCAGCTAACATACATGTGTGTGTGTGTGTGGACAGTTAGTTATTTAATAAAATATATATATATATAAATGGATGAGCAAATACAGTACACATAACTATTCATAACACATGTAATAATCAAAATCAAAATGCATTAGCGGTTAGTCTTTTATATGTTTTATTGGTTGGTTAGGTTAGCCCTTATCGTATTTAAACAAACATTAGACACTAGTATTTCATTGTGTGTGTGTGTATGTATTGTCTAATAAGATATACAACATATATATATATATATATATATATATATATATATATATATATATATATCAATATATGATATAATATAATATAATAATCAACACTTACTTAGTCTTTGGTGAATATGGTGTCGACCACAATAGGAACGGTAGTGAATGGAAATACCAAACATAAAACTGATAGTGCAGTGAACGAGAATAGGCTATACCAATAAAATTGGCGATAAATAGTGTCCATAATATATCTGTTTAGTTATAAATGTCATACAATTATTAAATTAGTATAGATTTTACAATTAGTATTTAAATTTTATTTAAATAAATATATAATAATAATAATAATAATATGTATATATTGTATATAAATTATTTTAGTTATCAAATCAATTATCAAACAAAATAAGTGTGTATTTCCTATATTTGCTTTAATTAACGCTTCAATAATATTATTAAATAGTGATTCAAAACAAAAACAAAAATTACAGTAAATATTATTATTATTATTATAGAAAACAAATTAAATTGTTTTTTTTATGAAACTAATTGTTTTTTTGACAAAATAAAATAGATTTTATTTTAGCTAATTATATATATATACTGTATATAATTGACTACTAATTTTATAATCTACAGTATAAATAGTAAAATTTTTTTTGGGTAAATATAAACCATTTTGTTGTTTACTATTCAAAATAAATTAAATATATATACTGTATATATATATATCAGTATATTATAATAATAAGTTTATATACAGTATAATAATAATAATAATACTTACGATTATTTGTCAACACATTAGCGGCAGTTGTTTTCGTCAATTTTTTAACATTAATAATACGTTTAAAACATTGTATATATCTATATAGTAATAATAAATACAATTATTAAATTAAAATTAATTCAAATATAACCCTAATTTTTAATCAAATATTGTTATAAAAAAATTTAGTTATACCTTGACTTGAAAAACAATACAATTGTCATCAAATGTAATGTTAATAAAATTAGATGAAAATAAGGGCTAATAAATAGATGGTTGGGTAGAAATCGCCAATTGACTGTCCACTTATGCATGAATATACGGCCCAAATTGAATGATCTAATCAGATAGGCTTTCGGATGACTGGCCAAAAATGGTAAACCTATTATTAACTTAGATTTACATATAGAAAAAAAGAAGTTTTTTTTTTTGGTTTAATTGATTTGTTTTTTACATTTTTGTAGACAATTTAATTTGAAAATAGTAATCAAATATTTTTTGTTTGTTTCTCTCTTTCTCTAATTTATTTTCGTTTTGCTAATTAGTTTATGTAAAAATTTAATTAGATATATAAAGTATATATCATTAGCTATATATTTATACTATATATCACTACTACTACTACTACTAGTAATACATTTATAGTAAACATTTTTTTATATAAAATTTTATGTATCACTATATATATTGTATAATAATTACCTGAATTATAGCACAAATACCCAGATTTTTGGCAACATTTTTCAAACTATTATTTTCAATGTATAGAAGCAGTAATGCCGGTGCAAACAATAGTATATTCATTTTGACCGATACTCCCAAACTATAGTTAACAAACAAACAAACAAAACAAAAAAAAAGTTTGATATTAATTAAGATATAGTTATGTATATATATATATAGCACAACAAACCTATAAAATATTGATCCGACTGTCCATTTGCGGTCAATGAAAAAGTTGATGGCTATGTATAGTAATAGCATAGCTATGGTATCATTGAACAAACGGAGCACATATATCGAGTGTATCCTATAGGATGTACAGCACATCACTATAAACACATAGGGAGGCAACTGTTTTTGATGGTATATCCATCCATATACACGACATCACCATATGGTTCCCCCACCCGATTGATGGACATATAGTTAGTAGAAATAAAAAAAAAAGATAATAATATTAATAATTATTATTACTATATAATTAATGTCTAATAAATACTAATTTACTATTAAAATATTAATAATTATTTTTTTGGATAATTAAAAAAAAATTCACAATTTTTGTTAGTATTGATTAAAATTATTATTTTAAATAAAAAATCTATTTATAAAGTATTTTTTGTTATATCATATATGATATATTGGTAATTATTTTTGAGTTTTTTTTTACTACATATACTATAAATTATATTTAAAATAAGGGATCAATTAAAAGATCTATAAAAAAAAGTGGTCTCATATTATATGGTTTGTTATCACCAAACAATTTTGTCTGAATGTGAACAGCAAATTCATTTTGTGTCTTAATCATCGACCACTTCCTCATCCTCAGGATATGTATGGTATGTATTGATTACCAATTAGTCCCGAAACACACTACAGACTTGACCTGAATATCAAAACATTTTGATTTTGTTGTCTCAAACTAACCATTTGATCCATACGTCTATAGATACGGAATACTGAGGCCAATGTCAACAGATAGATGGCCGCAAAAATATATTGACATCGGCGGATATCTGTACCCCGATTGGTCAGATAGTAGAGCGCAGAATACGAGTACAGATGGCCAGCCGGATAGACAATCGGTCCCGTATTGCCGCCAATCTGTTCATAGTTTACGGTACCGTTCTGGACAAAACACTCGACCTGTTGGACATAGGTTGACCAATCGATTTCGGTATCTAAATCGGGGGGGGGAGGGGGCAAAAAATGGGACCAATTATTCAAGTATTACCGATAATAACCATCAATTGGCCGCCGCCGCGGACTTACATTTAACACGATTGATAATATAGATGTTCAGTACGAATTCGCCGACCAATAGTAAGACCATTATGGCCGCTGAAAATTGGCCATCAAATAGTAGCCGCAATGTTAGACAATTGTGCCGAACAAATGCCGATAATTGGTGGCCATAGCGTTGCCAACTGCCGGCCGCCGATCGTCGGCCGGCCAACGGTTGTCGGCTCAGCGAACGCCGCAACTGTTGTTGTTGTTGTTGATGACTACTCATGTGTCTTCTATACTAAATTCGGGACCAAATGATACCCGCAATTTGGTGGACAACAATCATCGGTAAACAAAACAAACAATAAGTGTATGAAAGACACGTGTGTTAAGTACTGTATAATACAATATGTTTGCAGTATTTACTCTATACTACTGTATAAATACAATGTGTTTCAATACAATGCTGTAGTACAGTGTATATGACAATCGATGGCACTGTTTATTAAAATAAATATTTCTAAATTTAAATTAAATATTAATTATTATATTTCAATGTTGTATTTATATTGGGCGGGGGCGCGGGTATTATAAAAATTAATTAATTTTAATTTTCATCAATTAAATTTAATTTAATAAAAAAAACAATATATGATAATCAGATGCTATTATTAATTAAAACTACAAAATTATTTATTAAAATAAATAAATAATTTATAGTATAATTTATAGTATAGATAATAATTATTTTATAGTAACACATAGTGTATAATGCCATCAATTTATTTAAATTATAATTATTAAATTGATATTGAATATTAAATTTAAATTGAATTAAATTTAAACAATTAAAAAAAAAAGTTATGACAAACTTCCAGATGGTTTATATTTAAAAAAAAAATATTGACAAAAATTTATTTATTAAGTTATATATATTTAAAAATAAATAAATTTTTGTTTTTATAAATACAATTTTTTGTAAACCCCACTAATATTTTATTTTTAATAAAAAAATTATTATTATTATTATCTAATAATTCTCATATTACTTATTTTTAAAAAAAAAAATTTTGATATCAATTATTTTATTGTACTTATACTGTTCAGTGTAATACTATATAATAATTAAAATTTATATTAATTTATAATTATAATTAATTAAATATATATATGATATATATATATATATTTTTGAAAACTGTAAAGTTTTAATAATTGTATTTAATATTGCTATTTATGATAAGCTAATAAAAAAATTTTATTAGACATATTATAATCTACGGTATATTAAAATTTTCTAAAATATTAATAAATTATTTTTTTAACAACAAAAAATCATATACTAATTTTTAAGATAATTTTAAAAAAATTTTTTTGATGCGCTAAAACATTTTATAAATATTTTTTTTACTCATTTACTTTTAATTATCAAGAAAAAAGTTTATTTATATATTTTTATATATAAAAAATTTTTTTTATTATTTATTAAATTAATTACAAACACTGTCAGAAAAAATGTGTAGTTTTAAAAAATAAATTACAATTAGAAATACAAAAAAAAAATATGAAAACAAAATAATTAAAAAATTAATTAATTATTAATTCAGAGAAAGTCCGAGAGAGTCATCGCTCCTTTCGGTGCTGAATAGCCATAGTCTTCGTCACCGCTATCGTCGCCACCACCTCTTCCTCTTCGACCTCTTCCGCGACCACCTCTGCCTCTTCTACCGCCTCCTCTGGAAGATCCGCGACCACCGTCTTCTCCAAAACTACTACCTCCTCCTCCTCTTCCTCGTCCACCACGACCTCTACCTCTACTTCTTGGAGCTCCATATCCTCCTCCTCCTCCGCGACCACCGCCGCCACCGCGACGTCCAGAATCAAAATGATTGTTATAATGACCATCAGTGCCGCCGCCATCAGCACCTCCTGCTGTAGCTCTATTGGAAAAGTTGATCTGCAATCTGTCCATTGCCTGAACCAGCGATGAATAATCATCCGAACACCAGACACATCCCTGAAACTGTTGACTACCGTCTTTCAGCCGAGACTTATCCGGTTTGTATTCAATTGAACACAATTTTCGCCCGCATTTCTGACACAAATCCCGTTCGACCGTAACTTTTTGTGCATCTTTGAAGGCCGACATCGAAAACTGGCACTTATTGCAGGCAATCTTCCAAGTGGGCGGACCCGAACCCGGATCCAATACTAGCTGGCCATTGTGTCGACAGTTTTGGCAATCGGTTAGCGTATTGGCTACCATTGAGTGTCGACATTCATCGTTCGGACACTGATTACAGCCGCTAGCTTTCGGCATCGTCTCGAATGGCGGTTCATTAAAACAGTGGACACAAAGTACAAAACTTTTATCTCCTCCGCCGCCTCCTGTCTTCGTATAGTAGAGAAGCTCAAAGTCATCGATAGGACAGCGCAACTCCCTGTAGGTCTTAATTAAGCCGTTTTGCGGTATTGAATACGTATCGTTACAAGTGGCGCAATAGACCCGCTGCGGTTTGGCCTGAATCAATTTCAAATAGCGGCGACATTTACCGCATCGGGATATCGGTTTACCCGAATCGGCCAGCGATGAAAACGATACCTCAAACAGTTGATCCATTGCCGGTATATTATCGACAAAATATTTGAATTTCTTGCAAAATTCATCGATAGTTTTGTTAAGTACCCGATCAAAGTCGGCCCGACCGGCTGCTATTTCGTTCAATTGTTTTTCCAGCGCTGCCCGTTTGGTTGGCAGCACTAAATCGATGTCGATTTTCTGGTAGCCGTGAACTAAAACAATACCCAATTGTGTGGGAATTAGCCGACGGCCAGTCGATATCTTAACATAATTTCTTAGACAAATATTATTGATATGAGTCGGTATGGAAGCATCGGTACCGATGCCATGCTTTTCCATCAATGAGATCAGTTCTGGTGATCAGATATGATTGGATTGGATATAAAAAAAAATATATAAATTAATATGATATTAGAGATCAGTTAAATCACTTCCAATACCTGATTCGGTCAAATAATCGGGTGGTGTAGTCATACGTTCGACTAGTTTGGCGTCAGTTATCAGAAATTCGTCGCCAACCCGTAGACTCGATGGTATACGCTGGTCGTTGCCAATAGCCTGCCAGGTCATAAATCGGGTAAATCCGGGATCAGTTACCATTGATGCTTGTTTTGAAAATGTTTCCGAACCGATACCAAATGTCAGCGTTGTCTGACTGTAGCGCATATCCGGACTAATACTGCCGATAAAATGTCGACAAATATAGTCGTAAATACGATACGAATCCCGATCGGATAGTTCGTGTTGTTGGGCCAACTTCATCGGCGTAATAGGCGGATGATCGCCGGCATCGTGACCGCCTTTCGGTCGGGATATTCCCGACTCGATCAGCTGCTTGACATCCTGACCCCAGTTGTTATCGGCCGATAGTATACGCAACGTACCAATCAAATCGAAATTACTCGGGTATTGGGTGGTCTCAGTTCGAGGATAACTGATATAGCCCTGAGTGTACAGTCGTTCGGCAATTTGCATTGTCGTATGCGGACCAATGCCCAGACCTGAGCTGCAAATCTTCAACAGTTCCACAGTATTCAAGGCATTCGGGCGACCTTTGGTCTTGTCTTTCGTATTAATGGACAAAATTTTGGCCCTTTTTTGCGATTTTACTGAATTCAAGTAGGATTTCGCTTGATTTTGGCTAAACTCTCGACTCCTGTCCCAATCCAATGCTATCGGTGCCGTATTTCCAGTAGTCGACTGTACACTAACACTCAACACCCAATAGGGTTCGGGTTTGAATGTCTGTATTCGGTCGTGTCGTTCGACACAGAAGCCGAGTGTCGGTGTCTGACACGGACCGAACGATATCAGCGAACTGTCCAAATCGCCGTACTTTCCCTATGAATGAATGAATAGATGATAATAATAATGAATTGTCAATCAAATAGATGGTGTGTGTGTGTGTGTGTGTGGACTATCATTACGTGAAAAAATCGGGTCTGAAATCTGGTAAAAGCGCATCCAATACGCAAATCTAGTTCTTGTCGGGCATCGACAGACATAGATTCCAATTCATTCGGTAATACCAGTGAACTCATAGCCTGTTTGATATCTTTTTCGGTAATTGCGCTAAACTTTGCCCGAAATACAGTCTAAGAGGAAGAAATGGTGTGAATATAACATCAATTGGGATTTCCGTCGGGCGGGCGGACGGATAATGTGTCCAAAACAAACCTGCGGACTGCCGAACGATATCTTCATCGACGACTCGACAGCATTGATAACTTCGAAGCAAATATTTTCGCCCTCTTTGTCGCAGTCGAGCCATAGGACCAGATAATCGCATCCGCGGGCCTATTGGTGCGGAAAAGAGGAAATTAGATGGCAATTACCGCCGTATTTAATTTGACTGGACATCATCATCGGTAATAGTAGTAGCTATTGATGATAATTGCTAACCTCTTTCTGCAAAAATTTCAACATATTTAGCTTCGGGTTGGCCTCCTCTTTGACCACTGGACAGTCAAACAGTTCGACCGGTTCGATGGCGTCCCAGTTGTTGTATTTGCCGGTAAAATTCGTTGACATAACGTGTCCGCAAACCGATGTAAACTTGAACAACGTATCCCGTTGGCCACGAAATGAGGACCGATACTCGTGTATACTGCAGGCACTGTTGGCCGTCGACTTACGGGTCCGGAGTTTACCATTGGATAGGATTTGGGCCAACGATTGGGCCAGCGATGGCTTTTCGGCTACCATTAGCACACAGGCCATGGTTGTGGTTGTTGGTGGTGGCAGTGGTGGTCACTATCGGTGATTGTCTCGTGATTCACCCGATTGTAGACACTATTTAGTATATATATCTTTCGAGACCCGAAAGTCAATGTGTTTGACAATACAATACTAAACAGTATGTATGGTATGTATGGTATAAAGCGCTTAGACTTTACAATACAAAAACATTTTTATATGTATTAATACAGTAGTAGTATTAGACTCCTATTGGATATACACTGGTATTACTTAATTATATGCCTTACCATATGGTAGTGTATATACAGTATAATAGACACTACAGGTGCCCAAAAAAAAAAACAATACTCCCGCGGTGAAGTTTGGGGGGGGGGGTGTGGGAGGGAGGCAGGAGTGGGCTATAATTAGCTAAATAATAATTTTATTTATTTTTTAAAAAAAATTAATGTTTGCTTATTATATATATATATATGTTTGTGAAATATTTTTAATAATAATTATATTTATAATTATAATTACAAAATAATAAACTTATTATTATAACAAACAAAAATTACAATCATTTTTTTGTGTTGCTGTTATATAATTTTAAATTATTATTATAAATAAATTGATAAAATTATTATTATTATTATTATTAATCAATTTGAAACATACATACATATACACACACAAAAAATGATATAGATACAATTTCTTTTTATAAATTAATTCAATAATAATTAATAATAATAATAATAATATAATATTTATAAGTTAAACAAACTAACAATTTAAAAAAAAAATTGATTGATTTGATTGAAAATAAAAAATAATTTATACAAATATCTAATACCATTGTTGTTATTACATATGATTTAAATACAATTATTTTTGTTTGTTTGTTAATTTTTTGTAAAATTTAAAATATATCATATATATATATATATATTTAATTATCAATCTATTTTAATATGTATACATACTGTATATATATATATCCTAACTTCTAACTGTATATTCAGTATAAAGTTTTTTGTTTGTTTGTTTATTATTAAAATAATTATATACTAAATAATCAATCATCAATTAAATGATAATTTTATTTATTAACTAATAATAACTATATCATTGAGTTATTATGTAATAATAATAATAATAATATACAGTATATATAACTATAAAAATTATTAGTTTTTTGTCACTATTTTCTTAAGTAGTTTTTTTGTTTTAATTTATTCCCAATCAATGATTTGATTCAATCAATTAATTAATTTGTTTGTTTTTTTTTGGTTGAAATTATCATCAATTTTGTTGTCCACATATTAAACATATTAAAAACTTATACACAATTAATATATTAAATTTATATTGTCTTTGAAATAATCACTTTTTGTTTGTTTTGGTTATAACTATATTCGGTCACTAAAATCATCCGTTAAGACGACGGTGTAGTTCTTGTCGTCGATGAAAGACTATTACCACCACTACTACTACTACTCGCTAGCGAAACAACACTGACTTTCTGTAAATCACTGGACATTGTAGTCGTAGTGGTGGCCGATGAGGAGGCGGCGGCTGCGGCAGAAGCAGTGGTCACAGCAGCAGCGGTAATATATGTCTGCGGCGATGTATTGGTGGTAATGGTGTTCGACTGCGACGGAGGATGGGCTAAGAATATCGGCTGCAGAGCCGACGTCGACGGTATAACTATCTGTGTTTGCTGTAGATTTCCGGCGCCACCGCCACGACTGGCCGCGGCGGCCGCCGCCTGAGCAGTGGTTATAATACGGGCAACAAACTGATGATGAGGCGGAATGTTGGCGTTCTGCGGCTGAGCGGTCATTACTATCGGTGTGCCGCCGCCGCCGCCGCCACCGGATGTGCTGTTGACTGTGACGCCCACTTTACCGATAATCGTTGCATTGTTGGTCAACTTGTTTGTCGACGACGACGAGTTGGCATTGGTTGTTGTGCTCACAGGTATTACACGAATACCCTGAAGTGTACGCATAGTCAACGCTGGCGTCGATTGGGACGATGATGTCGACGACGTTAACGCTGATAATGGATCACTGGAACCACCACCACCACCACCGCTGCCGACAATTGCTGGCGACAATGAATTGTTTGGCTGCAAAACAAACGACCCGCCGCCGGCTGCTGCCATCATATAGGACTTGCCGTTAGGAGTGGCTATTTAAGAGGAGTATCGGTAATAATAATAATAATTATATAAAATTTGCACAATTATCAATTAAAATTTGGGTGACAAACCTAATACAACTGATCCGGGTCGGGCACCAATTAGCATCGAAGCCGGTATTGTTATCTGATGATGATGATGCTGTTGCTGAGGATGATGGTGTATCGGACTATTGTTAACAGTGGTGTGGTGTTGGTGTTGGTGGTGTCCACTACTATTGCTAACAGTATAAGCAGTTCCCGTCAATATCTTCGATCCGATTGGATGCGGTCTCGAGTGTTGCTGTTGTTGTTGTTGAATAGCTTCGGCTGCTGCTGCTGACGATATCTGAATTGATCCTCTATTTACCGTAGGATTCGATACGTTTATAAGCGCCGGAATAGCTTCAACACCACCAGCAGCAGTGGCACTAGTTTTCATCACCAGTGATGATGACGATGACGACTGTTGATGATGTGTTTTCAGTGTATTTTGAGTCGATATGGGAAGTGTTATTGTTTTCGGTATCTGGACTTTAATCGCTGGCGGATGTTGTTGTTTCGCTTGTCTAACATTTCGGTTATGATTCAGACCTCCTCCTCCTCCTCCTCCAGTCATCATCGGTTGTGATTTTGGCGTCACTTTTATGGAATTGTTTGATACAATTAATTTGGTGGTGGCTGTTGTTGTTGTTGTAGGAGTAGTCGTAGTAGTAGTAGTCATAGCAGAGGTATCGCTGGCAGCTATGGATAGGCTAACAGTGTTGGAGTGGGATTGGGATGGGCTGCTGGCGGCAGTAGACACTGCAGCCATAATGATAGTCGACGACTTCGGCATATCAAACATTGTTTTTGAGATAATCTTTTGTTGAGGCGGTTCTAATAGCTTAATGTCTTTCAGTTTTGTAAACTTCTTGTTGTTATTACTACTACTACTGCTGCTGCTGCTGCTGATGGTTGTGGTGTTATCGCCAACTAAGACATGATGGTCAGCGGCATTGATAGCTATAGTAGTAGTAGTAGTAGTACTATCTGTAGATGATTTGTTGTCTCGAAGAATCTGTTGGTTCGCTGTTGGTGTTGCTGTCTGTAGTGATAAAAATAACGGACTCGCTGTCGATGTCATCGTCGACGGTGTTGTTGTTGTTGCCGTTGCTGAAGATAGCGGACCGTTGTTTAACAACAACTGTGAGCTCAACAATGTATTAGCGGCGGCGGCGGCGGTTTCGATGCCTTTAGTAGTACTACTACTACTACTGATGATGTCTTTGTCTTTTTTGATGATTTTGTTAAACAATAGCGAAGATTTCAAATCGGAAATAAAGTCTTTGCTGTTGTTGTTATTGGCATTTACTGTCTGAACCTCTGTTGTTGAAGAACCAGATGAGGTATTAGTTACAGGAGGTGTTGTTGTTGTCGTAGATTCGATAGAAGAATCGCTTAAACTCAACGACGACTTAGTGGTAACTTTCAGAACATCCGAATTCAATATATTGTTAACAGTCTGATTGATTGCCTGTTGGGTTGTCTTCGGAAACAATTGATTGCCAACTCCTGAATGATGTTGTTGTTGTTGATGATTGGCGGTGGCGGCGGCCACACCACTACTACTACTACTACCACCAGCAGCAGCACCACACGCAGCGGCAGCGTTGGCGGCATTGGTAGCACTGTTGGTCTTTCGGGAAGCCTTACTCATCGATCGTTTAGCTTTTGCGGCCGCAATCTGGACCTGATGTAGCCGTTCAAATTCGGCTTCCGTACGATTACGATGCAAATAGATCCATACTTTCCTGTTGACATCGTATTTGACACACGGATCCTTTTCGTAGTGTAGGCGATCCAGTGCACCGCTGACTATACCATTCACTTGTTGGTCGGATATTGTTGGCAACAAATACTGTGAATCTTTCAACAGTTCACAAATGTCTGCTCGGGTACCTTCACCGTTGGGCAGCCGTGCAGCCGCATCCCGGACCAGACTCAACAGCGTAACAAACGGTGGCCTATCGTTCACCAACAGTGAATGTTCGCGAGCTTTGTTCGGACTCGAGTTTGTATGGCCATTGGCCGTTGCAATACCGCAACCTTTAACCGGTCCGACAACACTTTCGTAGCCGTGAACCCGATAAGTGAACGCTTTATTAGGATTGTTATATCTGATAGCTTCCTGTACACGATATTTAGTTTTTTCCTCGTGACTGGACGGCCTGACCACCCAATCGGTAGTACATTTGGCCGGCGGCGGCAACGATTGCGAAAAATTCATTAGACCGCCGCCGCCTGAGCCACCGATAGCCGAATTTTCGTCGCCCCTACTTTTCAGCCACTGGTCGCACAGCGGACTCAGATCCGGATCGCGGTCACGACCGCCGCCAATCCATTGCCATTGTTGATTCTTTTCTTTGTAGTCAACTAGCGGTATCAAGTGTTGGGGCGGCAGTACACCGCTCAAGTAGTTCATAGCTGGCGATACCATTTCGGTAGACCAGCCCAGAAACGGACTAAACACCCGGAGCTTGTCTTTGACCAGTTCTTCGAGTTTATGTAGCGTTAGTTTCTGATCGTTCGGGGCGTTCGTCGTGAATATGTCGCGCAGTAGCGAAAAGAAACATTTCGGCGGCTTTTCAAACGGTACGGCCGGTGCTATAGCAGCTGCCGGACTCTGCGGCGGTGGCGGCGGCGGCTCTGTTGTGGTCACAGGTGTTGTCGTATTCGTCGACTGTTGTTGTTTAACCATTGATGCCAACGATTGATGCGATCCGACAACCATTGGATAGTCGGATGATTGTTGTGAATCACTTGTTGTTGTCGTCGATGATGACGACGACAGGGAACTGGTTTTAATGGTTATATTTGTACTTTTAATCGCAGAACTACTACTACTACTACTACTTGATTTTGTCGAAACATTTTTGTTGTCACGAACACCACTACCAACACAACTATCACCAGCACTGGTAGTCATAAGTGTTTGTTGTTGTTGTTTAAAACTATCACTAAATTTAGTTAATTGAAAACTAGTTGGTAATGTTGTCGCCGCTGCTGTTGCTGTACTAGTAATACCACCGGTAGTATCAGCAGCAGTGGTAGTGTTAGTAGTAGTAGTAGTTATCACTTGTTTTTCTTGTTTTATTGTCGCCGTCGCCATCATTGCTGTTGTCGGCGATGATTGAGATTTTCGCTGAAGAGTTTGGTTCTGATTATTATTATTATTATTATTATTATTCATCGATGAATTGATTTTTGTTAAACTCTGCGCTGAAGATGAAGAAGAAGAAGTTTTCGCCTTTTTCTTGGACGACGACAATGAAGAGGAAGACTTGGGAATGAATGACGTGGACTGTAGCGATGGTGTCGTCACCGATGATGATGTCAATGGCGACGACAACGACGACGTTAATGAGTTTACCGATGATTTGTTGTTACCGCCGCCGCCGCTGGCATTGATGGCAGTGTTTGTAACTCTGGCTATTATATCGCTTAAACAAATATTCTGTGTCTCCAGTGTCGGCTCATACCTACCAATGATGTCCGACGACGACGACTCTTTGGCCTTACGTTTTCGCCGATGTTTTCTTAACATTTCATAGTATTGTTCGTCACTTATCTGATGATTATTGTTGATCACTGTAGTAGTAGTAGTAGTAGTATTGATACTACCATTGAGTTTAGATGTAGACACCAATGATGAAGAATTGTTATTATTATTATCACTATTACTACTATTATTAGTAATACTATTAACAAAACTATTGTTTTTAATATCCATTAGTTGTTGTCGTTGTTTTTCGTCATCCGAAGAGATTTCGTCACTTTTACTGCAAATATCTTTCAATTCTTTAAGATATCTACGGCGAGCCCTGTCTTTAAGACAATTATTATTATTATTATTAATATTAATAGTTTGTGATATGAGTTGCGATTTGTTGTTTGGCCGTTGTTTGCTTGTCGTTGTCCTCGTCCTCGGCGTTGTTGTTTGTATGGACTCATCGACCAGTAGTCGCCGCTTGTTTAAGACTTCGGTCAACAGTTGCGACTGTCGTTTTTGTTCATAGATGGCAAACAAACGTTTCCTCAATTGTTTCACTTCGTCCAGCGTACGGATCAGATCGGGACTCATTCGCTGCAATTTCAAACCGACAAATACCGTCGACAACTGGTCGCTATCGAATCGTTTCAGTTGACCCGCGAATAGCATTTCGATTGTACGTAACTTTTCGGCCGACGTGAATCCATTGGGCAGATAATTGTCGCACAACTCTTGTCGTTTACGATCGCTTAACAGTTGCCACAGTGATGATGACGACGATGAAGACAACAATTGGTGACCATTGCCATCATCGCCGCCGCCGCCGCCGCCACCGCAGTTGTCGTTGTGAACGAGATTCATAAAGACTTCTTTGTCTGTAAACAATTCGCTGGGCATTTGGCTTATCGATGACGACGACGACGACGAGGACATCGATGAAGTACTGGCCGAAGTAGTAGTACTGTTGTTGTTACCGACAAAACAATGGCCACCACCACTACCACCACTACTGATTCCCGTCGTTGTCGTCGACACGGATGATGTGGCCATCATCGACGTGACTGTAGCTGTGGCCGCGACTGCAGTCGAGTTGTTGTTGTTGTTGCTGGTCGTGGACACAGTTGTCGTCATCCGCGGATGATTATTATTATTACTACTATTACTACGACTACTATCTCAGCGGTGACCAACAAATATCATTAACCATTGTTGACTACGATGACGATAATGATGGGATCAGATTGCAAATAAAAAACAGGACACTTTGATTGACCCGTATGTCCACTAATACTAATAATACTCTCATCATCCTCTTAACCCTGTTGGCCGATCGGTAACAGCAGCGGCGGCAACAAATCGGTGGCCAACAAATCGGTAATCGATATCATTGTTTGTTTTGTTTTTTAGACATCAATTGTCATAACTATTACTATTAATGTATTAAACATTTGGAAATAACGTTATGTTTATTATATAGTAGTTATTATATTATAAGTTATAAGTGAAAACACAACAACAAAACAACAAAAAAATTTTTAATACATTAACACCAAAAACATTGGACCCAAACATTTGTTTTGTATGTTTGCTTAACAATATATAGATGGCATTCAATGACAATTTTAGCGCCAATTTTGAAAGTATATATTTTTTATAATTTTTTTTTTTTGATATATAAAATAAATTTGTATTTTGTTTTTTGTTTTTGTTTTTTTTTTTTAATTAAATATTATCGTTAATAGTTAATTAAATTAATTAGATTAGATTATTAATTAATTAAAAAATTAATAATAATAATAATTATACTGTAGATTATTACCGGTAATTGTTTTTGTTTGTTTGTTGGTTGTAATCATTTAATTATTTATATATATATATAAAATAAATTTGTAAATTTTTTTTGTTTAATTAAATATTACGTTAATAGTTAATATTAACTAAATTATTAATTAAAAAGTTAACAATAATAATGATTATATTGTAGATTATTATTAATTGTTTGTTTGTTGGTTGTAATCATTTAATTATTTATCTAAATAATTTATTTGTATGTAAAATATTACTATTTTTAATTTCTAAATTATATTATCACAATTAATCAAATCTTAATATATTTATTTAAATAATAATTTTTTTTATTAAAAAAATTTAATAAAATTTATTAATTTGTTTATTTGGTTAATAATAATAAAAAAAATATTAATAAATCTATATATAATCAACTGATTGTTGTTGTTGTTGAAAATATTTATACATTATTTTATTTTTAAAAAATTGTTAATAAAATGATAGTATTTTTGCTTAACAAACCCCAACCCCACCCCACCCTTCCTATAGTTAATTTAAAATCTTTGTTTTTTGTTGCTATTGTTGTTTGGATTAAATGAATAGCTTTTCGATTGATTTGAATTTTTTTGAAAAGTTTTCTGCAATTAAACAAAAACAAACAAATAATTAATAAATAATTTCAATTACGGTATAAATATATATATAACTAAAAAAAATCTAATGAAAAACCTTATTATTATTATTTTTAAACGATTGTTGTCTTCTTTTCGATTTATTTCCAGATTTTCCCGAATTGTTTCCCGATGTTCTGGGGGCCGAAAATGTCGAATAATCATAGGCTTCATAGTTGAACGGTTCGATCGTTTTCTTATTCATCGACATAGACGACGAGGACGGCGACGACGACGACGATGTCTTCGGTTTTTTCGATTTTCGATAATTATCACCAATAGTCTCATTCGTTGTTTCGGGATTTACAACAACATTGTCTTTCATGTCATCGATCTCTCCTTCTTCTTGTTCTTCCTCTTCATCTTTAATCACTTGTTGTTGTTGTGATACTTTTGAAGTGTTTTTCGATGATTTCGACGAACTAGAAGAAGAAGTTAATCCCAAATAATGCGAATATATCTAATAAAATAACGGATAAATCAATTTAGTAACCAGTTTTTTACCGGATAATTATTATATCATTGAAAATAAAAACACAATTGAAACAAAAATATATATTCATATAATTCATACTCTATTTATATTTTTATCATTTTTTATTGTCTTATCTTTAATGTCTTCAATATCTTGTTTTTTGATACTATTTTGTCGTCTTTTTATAGTTAATTGATACTAAAAAAAAAATTGAATAACAATTACAAAAATTATAATCACATTTTTATGTGGGGGTGGAGGTGGGGGTAAATGTTTATAATCAATTATAATCAATAAATACTCTGTCAAATAGCGATATAAATGATGAACAAATAGTCTTATGAATTGTTGGCGTATTGTTGCCGTTGTTGTTGTCCATAGATTTTTTTATCGGTAATAAATCGCGGGTAAAAAAGTCAACAAACGGTGACAAACTATTATTAGTATTATTATTATTATTGACAACTAATTTGTTATCAATTTTCTTATCAATATCTGCTATCAATTCGTAATGTATTTCTTTAAAAACAAAAAAAAATTAAATTTTAGTTAAAAATATATTAGATATCAACTAAAAAATAAAAAAATTGATTACCATTTTGGTCGTCAATCAATGGATTAGTATTCAAATAGGAATCGGCAGCAAATCTATCGTATTTGCAATCAAACTGTTGATCATCTAAATCGATATATTTTCTACTAAACAAATTTTTTATAGTTGAATATCTATTATTAGATTTATCATCAAATCTATTATTATTATTATTATCGTTATTTTCATTATTATTATTATTCAATGGCCTATCTCTGGCCTTCAATATAATTAAATGTATTTCATTGAGTTGTTGTTTGACTAACGGAGGAATGGGATTACAAGAGGCTAGTATTCCCTGTTGTTCACTGTATTTGGTATAAATCAAAAATCATTATCAAAAAAATATATATAGATTTTTAAAAGTCATAATTACTACATACCGGGGCAATACTTCGGCAATATGTAGAAGCATATGATTTGGTAATACATAACTGTTGAGTGTGTTTAACAAACAATTAAAAAAAAATAGATTGTAATTACAAATTAAATTAATTAAAAATCAATTAATTAATAATTAATATTATTATTATTTTTATTGATAATTATAAATACCCAATACTTTCGTCATCATTGCGTGCCATACGGTCTCTCCAGGCGTACAACTCTTTCAATGCAAACAATTGTCTTGAATTAAAATTGACATTTGATTTCTTTAACAATAGTCTATAGCTATCTGGCGTATACAATGGCTTCTCATATTTCTATATTATACCGGTACAGACACACATACATATACCAGTTATCGGTAAAAAAAATAAATTACCGAAAAATTAGTTTTTATTTATTTATTTTTTTTTTTTTTGAAATATAACAAACCTTAAGACAAACTGATTTACTTCTATCAAACACAGCCCTCAATAGGTTTTTTTCGGCATTTCCTTTGGCAATCAATTCGTTTTTCATCTGAATATAGATGAATATCAATGAATGTGTATCTTCGCGAGCATAGCGTAACATATCCGGGGTTAGCGGCCGTATACGCCAGTCGGCCAATTGAAACTGTTTGTTGGCATCGATATTGCAATACTTTTTCAACAAATACGATAGAGACAAGTGGGGAAAGTCTAGCAGTTTGGAGGCCTGATAGGTATCGAATAGGTTGACCACATAGACACCGAAATCACGTTGAAGCCATTGGACATCCATGTCGGCGCCGTGAAATACCTGTCCCATTAACAACAACAACAACAATATAGATATATATTAAATAGTCATAAATAATAATAATAATAATTACTGTACTTTCAATATCGATGGACAGGTAAACACTTCGTTGAGCACATGTATCTCTGAGCGCAGTTCCAGAGCGTCTACTATAAAATCATTGGTTTTTGTCGATATCTGTATCAAACATGTAAACCCTTGAAATGTACGATACGAGTGATGCTATATATATATAATGAAAAATGTTTAACAAACAAAAAAAAAAGTGTTTAAATAAAAATAACTTTAAAAAACTAATAATTAGTTTGTATTTGATTGTTAAATTCAAATCATAATTATCTCTCTCTCTCTCTCTCTAATCACTGACTTCTAGATCGACGGCAATAATATCGCAAGTCTTCAACTGATTGCACATTTCCATCAAATCATCAGATTTTCTAATGAATTTGAATTCCGTTTCAGTGATCGGTTTCGGGAACTAATCAATTGGCAAATCAATTGAAAAAAAGATAAAAAAATTTTTAATAAAAACCGATAATTTTTTTTATTCATTATTTTTCAATCAATTCAATGGCAAACCTCTGGTACTTCGATATCCAGAAAGCGATCGTTCGGCCGAAACATATCGATCTCGAACTCATACGGATGTGAATACGTATCGAAGTCCGACTCTGTCTTCTCCAACAGTATGGCCAACGGTTTCAATGAATTTGGTTTGTCTTTAATGATCGGTACGAACGCATGGTTTGTATTATCGATTTTATCCTTGAATTTCAATTGCGATCTCTCAACCAATTTAGCGGACAATAGCTTCAAATTGCTATTATCTTTGCCTCTATTGTTGTTGTTGTTATGGTTGGCGTGTATTATCTTTCGGCGATTCCACGATGAACTAGTGGTAGTAACCGATAGACGCTTATCTGAACCAATAGTGGCTAAGACTAGATCCGCTTCTTTTTGTTTAATACCGGACGCCTCATCCAAATAGTTACCCTTTTTTTTTAATTATAAATATTAAGTATTAGTTATAGTTGTTATCACTATTTAGTTGATCCCATCCCAAACTATACGTACAATTTTATCAAAGATATTGTCATTGAGATCACCGATTAGATCGCTTTTGTCGTCATCCGATTGGATCCGATCGATACGTTTGCCGCCTTTCAGTTCATTTTGTATAAGCGATGATAACCTGTCGGATGAATAAAAAAAAAGATAATGTTTTAATAATAATAATAATCACTTTGAATCTGATCCCAAACAACAACAACAACACATACATATCTATACATTCATTGTTTTCGTGTCTAATAATCTGCAGAAATCGATCACTTGATCCACTAAAACAGCTAACATCCGATGGTTTTATAGACATCGATGATTTGGTCGCCCGAAGAGCTTTCGCCTGAAGACTCTGTATATAATGTAAAGTGTATCATAAAATCATCACACAATTGATCCCATTATATATATATATATATATATGACCATGGTCACATTCAATATTCAATTCAATTACCTGACAAAACAAGTTGATGTCCATTATCTCCTCTTCAGTGCTGTTTTGATGGTCACTATTACCGCTACCATTACCGCCGCCGCCGCCGCCGCCGCCGCCGCCGCCGCCGCTACTACTGCTTGATTGTTGTCGACTACTGTTCATCACATCCATGTCCACACTGTCTATATCTGTGTGTACGTGTAATATCAGCGCACGTGTGTGTGGTGTCAACAAAACACGCGATTTATTTTTAAAAAAACATTTTATTTTTATAACACACACTGTATATGATATGTAATGTTATATATGAATACAATCGAGTGTCACGTGTTTTGTGTGTTTGTGTTGTTTTGTGTGTAAAGTTGACTGTATTTACTAATTATTACTAAAGTTGAGTGTATTTTTTAAAAAAATATTTAGTACTACTGTATATATATATATAATAACAATTTAATTTCAAAACTTTAAATTATGAATAATTCAATCAAATCTGTAGTCAATACTACTGGTAGTAGTAGTAGTAGTATTGGTATTAGTATTACTAAAAGTGGTTTCAAAAGACAAACATTTATTAACCAACTATTAAGGAGAAATCATATCAAATCTTTACCAAACATTACAGAAAAAGATATTAATTTTTGCGAAATGGATGAATTGGATCAATTGGATCAAAGAAGAAGATTTGTAGAGAAGATCACTGAACTGGTCAAACATATAAGTGATCTGATTTTAATTGATCCAAATGGGTGTGTATGTGTATGTGTATGTGTATGTGTATGTGTATGTGTATGTGTATGTGTATGTGTATGTGTATGTGTATGTGTATGTGTATGTGTATGTGTATGTGTATGTGTATGTGTATGTGTATGTATGTGTATGTGTATGTGTATGTGTATGTGTATGTGTATGTGTATGTGTATGTGTATGTGTATGTGTATGTGTATGTGTATGTGTATGTGTATGTGTATGTATGTGTATGTGTATGTGTATGTGTATGTATGTGTATGTGTATGTGTATGTATATATGTATGTGTATGTATGTGTATGTGTATGTGTATGTGTATGTGTATGTGTATGTGTATGTGTATGTGTATGTGTATGTGTATGTGTATGTGTATGTGTATGTGTATGTATATGTATATGTATGTGTGTATGTATGTGTATGTGTGTGTGTATGTATGTTTGTGTATGTGTATGTGTATGTATGGATTAATTATGATATTTATCTAATTTTTTTTCCGCACACATATGTATTAGTCAATTGATTCAATTGCGCGAACAATTGGTTAATAGTGTGGTACCACTACAACAGCCCAACAATCTATTGCCGATTGGCTCAGATCACCAACCAGTTCGGCCATTGATTGTCGTTAAAGTCAAGATTGGCGTTAAACGTCAATTAGATGACGTTCTTGAACTGACTGATCCAATGAAGATTGTCGACCCGCTTAACACTGACAATTATTGGGCTATTGGCGAAATCATCAAACAGTTTAGAAATAATTCCCAGTTACCGGTACTTAGATGGTCTGCGGAGGAATTGGCCACCAATTCGCCGCCCTCGACACCCCCGCAACCACAACAGTAACACACACACACATATACACATACATACACACACACACATACACACACACACACATATACACAYACACACACACACACACATACACACACACACACACACACACACACACACACACACAYACACATACACACACACATACACACACACACATACACACATATACACATACATACACACACACATACACACACACACACACATTATTTTCGGGGACCAAATGTTAGCTGTTTTAGTGGATCAAGTGATCGATTTCTGCAGATTATTAGACACGAAAACAATGAATGTATCGATATGTATGTGTTGTTGCTGTTTGGGATCAGATTCAAAGTGATATTATCTTTTTTTTACTTATCCGACAGGTTATCATCGTTTATACAAAATGAACTGAAAGTCGGCAAACGTATCGATCGGATCCAATCGGATGACGACAAAAGCGATCTAATGGGTGATCCCAATGACTATATCTTTGACAAAATTGTACGTATAGTTTGATTGATTGTTGTATTTGTTTTGGGATCAATTAAATAGTGATAACAACTAACTAATACTTATAAAAAAAGGGAAACTATTTGGATGAGGCGTCCGGTATTAAACAAAAAGAAGCGGATCTAGTCTTAGCCACTATTGGTTCGGATAAGCGTCTATCGGTTACGGCTACTACCACTAGTTCATCGTGGAATCGCCGAAAGATAATACACGCCAACCATAACAACAACAATAGAGGCAAAGATAATAGCAATTTGAAGCTATTGTCCGCTAAATTAGTCCAGAGATCGCAATTGAAATTCAAGGATAAAATCGATAATACAAACCATGCGTTCGTACCGATCATTAAAGACAAACCAAATTCATTGAAACCGTTGGCCATACTGTTGGAGAAGACAGAGTCGGACTTCGATACGTATTCACATCCGTATGAGTTCGAGATCGATATGTTTCGGCCGAACGATCGCTTTCTGGATATCGAAGTACCGCAGGTTTGCTCATTTGAATTGATCCAAAAATAATGACAACAAAAAATTATTGGTTTTTTATTAAAAAAATTTTTTACTTATTCTTTCAATTGATTTGCCAATTGATTAGTTCCCGAAACCGATCACTGAAACGGAATTCAAATTCATTAGAAAATCTGATGATTTGATGGAAATGTGCAATCAGTTGAAGACTTGCGATATTATTGCCGTCGATCTAGAAGTCAGTGATAGATAGATAGATAGATAGATAGATAGATAGAGAGAGAGAGAGAGAGAGAGAGATAATTATGATTTGAATTTAACAATCAAATACAAACTAATTATTAGTTTTTTAAAGTTATTTTTATTTAAACACTTTTTTTTGTTTGTTAAACATTTTTCATTATATATATATAGCATCACTCGTATCGTACATTTCAAGGGTTTACATGTTTGATACAGATATCGACAAAAACCAATGATTTTATAGTAGACGCTCTGGAACTGCGCTCAGAGATACATGTGCTCAACGAAGTGTTTACCTGTCCATCGATATTGAAAGTACAGTAATTAGTATTATTATTTATGACTATTTAATATATATCTACAGTATATTGCATAAAATCTCGGCTTTTTTTAACTGCACATAAAAATCGGTAAATAAATCACAGAAAAAAATAATTTTTAAAATTAATAAATAAGTATATAATAATTTATAATTTGTATAATTAATTAAAAAAATTTAACTGTAAGTCCGCCATTCGGTTAAATAATTTCGGGTATTTTAGCGATGGTGGGGGTAATAGCAGTGATTTATGTGTAGAGCACAACACTACCCCTATTTTTTTTCGGTTGGCATGTTTTCGGGCCAACTTTCAATAGTCGCGCTCACTATTAGGAATGGTGTGTTTATTATCATTGGAAAGTGTATTTAAAAACCTTTCCAATGATATATATCACCCCTTTCTATATTTTTTATATTTAAAGTTATACCGCTTTTAGTGGTAGTAGTAAATAGCCGAGATTTTATGCAATATACTGTATATTGTTGTTGTTGTTGTTAATGGGACAGGTATTTCACGGCGCCGACATGGATGTCCAATGGCTTCAACGTGATTTCGGTGTCTATGTGGTCAACCTATTCGATACCTATCAGGCCTCCAAACTACTCGACTTTCCCCACTTATCTCTATCGTATTTGTTGAAAAAGTACTGCAATATCGATGCCAACAAACAGTTTCAATTGGCCGACTGGCGTATACGGCCGCTAACCCCGGATATGTTACGGATAAGTACTGTAATATGCATAATACACATAATGCCAAACACTAACAGTTTCATTTGGCTTACCGATCGGTTAGTTTTTTTTGTTGTTGTTGTGGAGATCAAAGTGCCGCATGTTTTCCATATAATTAATTAAAAATTATGGGTTTTTTATATTATAATTTATATATTTTTCCTATTAATCTGTTAATTAGTCAATTGCCAACACACATATGTTCACACACACACACACACACACACACACACACACACACATATATATATATATATATATATATATACAAATAAATACATATTTACATTCATACACATATATATTATTGCTATTTGCTATTATCATTATTTGCTATATATTATTGCATTATATTAGTACTATCAGTACATATTTCTATATTTATAACTAAGATTTTTGATATATTTATACATTTAATTTGTATTTACCGTTTGAATTAGTTATTGAATTAATTTTTTGTTTTGTTTTTGTAAAACATTATTAATTTATTTGTTAAGTATTGCATTACAAACATACACACACACACACACACACACATATTATTGAATAAAATATTTTTTGTTGATAAATATTATATATATGTACTATATTATAAATTTTGATATTAAATTAGTCATTAAATTAGTAAAATATATTTTTGTAAATTTATATATACTGTATAAATTGATTTTTAAAAAAAAATATATTTAAAGTTATATAATATATATACCGTATAATAATAGAGATGTTATACAGTATATATTAAAATTAGGTATTGAAATAATCCTATAATAATATTATTTAAAAATATATATATATTTTTGATATATATATATATTAAATTTTGAGATTACTTTTATAATTATATGTAAATTATTAATCAATTTATTCATCAATAAAAAAATATATTCAACAATTAATAAAATTATATCATATATACAGTATGTATATATTATATTTTTTTTTTAGATAATTAAAAATAAATAAAAATTTAAATATAATTAAAATATAATTAAAATACTAAAAAATAATTAATTTTAAATATTTAATTAAAATAAGTTTTTTTTAAATTTTATTTAATTACTATTATTTAGTTACAGTATCTATAATCCAATCGACATATTCGGAAACACGTGTATAAATACCCGGCAGATTAGGTTCGGCACATTTGATACCATTTGAAACAATACCGGCCAATGTCCAGCGGCCATCATCACGATTACGTACGGCCAACGGTCCCCCCGAATCGCCTTCGCACGAATCTTTACCGCCAATCGAATAGCCGGCGCATACAATCGTTTTGCGGGCCACCAGCCGATGGCCGGCTCGCCGATACATTTGTTCGCACTCTCTATTGGATACGATCGGTACCCGAACTATCTGAAGCACTTCGGGTAGTGTCCGCTGTTCTGTACGGGTTATCAAAGTAAGTATTTACAGCCTTTCGGTAGGTATTTGCTATATATATATATATATAAAAACTTACGATACGATAGTATACCCCAACCGCTAACATAGGCATCCGATCCGATAAAATCGTCGTCCGATTTGCTATCGGGTAAACAAATCGGTTGAATATGCGGCTCATACTCGACATCCTCGTCCAACTCGATTAGCGCCAAATCGTTTTCAAGTGTCATGTGATTATAGCCGGGATGTATGACCACACGTTTGGCTTTACGTACGACCACTGGTAACGGTTCACTACCACCGCTACCGTCACTACTAATACTACTTTCAACTCCCGACGACGCCAACGAACCGTCCATTTTGGACATCAATTCACGGGTTTTCAGATTATATTCGCCGAATATTACTTGCAACGACCCGAACAGTCCGCTATTACAATGGGCAGCCGTAACCACCCAGTTGTGGCTGACCAGTACGGCACCGCACTTGTTGTAGCGCCACATACCGAAAAATCGGGCCTCTTTGACCAGTGCCTGCCACGGAGCTTCGCCATAGTAGGCATCGTTGCCGCCGACTATACGACTTGACCGCAACAGTTCGGCCGGTCGTTCACCACATCCCGCGGCTGTTTTTTAGAGATATATATATATATATATATATATATATATATATAAATGATATTATTATCAAATGTTTTAAATAGTATATTATTTTTTGTTGGTTTTTTTTAATTTAATTGATTTAATAATAATAAGTATTAATTAATTAATTAATTAATTAAAAATATATATATTTACCCGAAACTTGATTTTTATGTCCAATTAGTTCATTCAATATATTTAGACAATAAATTGTTAAAACAATTGATTTAATTAATGATAACATGTTTTTTGTTTTTGTTTTAAATGATAAAATAAATTAAAACTAATTTAACTTTTTTTTTGGTATTAATTAAAATATATATATAAATAAAACAAATTTAAATAAACTAATGTAACAAACAACAAATGTTTTATATTATTACTTATTAATTAATTATATATATAAAAAATACATGTATAAATATATTATTAGTAATAATAATAATAAATAATTTTTTTTTTAAATGTGATTATTTGATGAAAAAATAAAATCAACAATTATTTTATATGTTTGTGACCAACACTTATGATTGACTACTGAATCACATACTAAATGAAACTTTAAAAAAAAAAAATTATTTACAAATTTTTTTGTCGTTTAAAAATCCTTTTTCAATTCAGGGATTTATTTCAATACAGTTGACTAATACTACTGACTAAAAGTAGACTAAAAATAATAATTATAATAAAAAGTTTAGACACTTTTAATTAAGACAATAATAATCTCCCGGAAATCTCTGTGTGTTTTAAGCCCTTTATATATTCATATATCGGTTAATATGTCATATTTAGAGAGAGAGAGAGAGAGAGAGAGAGAGAGAGAGAGAGAGAGAGAGAGAGAGAGAGAGAGAATGAAAGAGAGAGAATGAAAGAGAGAGAAAGAGAGAGAGAGAGAGAGAGAGAATGAAAGAGAGAGAGAGAGATAAACAAAAAAAATTGTTAATTAATCACTAATTATATATATATATAAAGATATTATTTGATATATGAATAAAAAAAAACTTTTTTATTATAGAAAATTTATATCTTTTAAAAAAAACTTATTAATAGTTTTATCAAATATTTTTTTTTTTTTTTGATGAACTCTCACTTTTATACGAGTACTTTACAAACAAATAGACAAAAAAAATACATTCAATAATCATTACTGGCTTTTCACTTATCAATCATTTTATTTTACTTTAAAAAAAAATTTATTTATTAATAAATTATAAAGTTTTTCATAATTTAAAAATTTTTCAACTATACTGTATAAGTTTCCCATTATATTTATTAATAATTAATTAAATTATCAAATATATATATATATGTATAGTACATAATGATATACACTGTATAATAATAAGTTAATAATAAATCCAATAATTAATATTAACTAATAATATAAATATTAAAAGTTTAAAAACTTTAATATTTATTTAATAGTTTTGATTATTGTTATGTAATTACTGTACAGTAATGTATAGTATTAATAGTATACTACTGTATAGTAGAGTAGAGTACAAAACTGTTGTTATAACCGGTTTGGTTCCTAAGTATTACTATTATTATTATTTTGTAATACATTAATAGATTACGGGTTTTAATGTTATATAATAATTATTATTATTATTTTTGCTAAATTAAAAAAAATGTTATAAACTTTAAACTAAACTAAACTATAAAAAAAAATGATTTTAATTTCATATAATTTAATAATTTATTTTTTAGGTTTTAGGTTCGGTTTCTAATAACAACTACACATTAAATGATACATTAGTTTGGTTTACACACATCTAGTGTTTTGGTTTTTTACATACAGTTTGTTGTTATTGTGTTATTGATTATCAAAAAACACAACAACAATGTTGTCGTCGATAATGATATCACAACACGTGTTGGCCATCAAAGTGTCTACTCATCAGAGGTTTGTTTTGTTGTTGTTGTTGTTGTTGAAGATCTTTTTGATGTCTTAATTGACCACAACTTTTATGTCACTTTAGATGTCTTCGATTGGTTACCGATTGTCTGAAGAAGACGATGGCAACGATGACAACGACAACGACAACAACAACACCAACACATGTGAACCGATTGTTGTTGTCTTCATCGGCAATGATTAGTTGCCGTCAAGACATCCGTACATACCATCATCAACAACAACAACATTATGATTATCACCATAAGTCGCCGCCACCACCACTACCGCCGATGTCGATGACAATTGTTCCCAATGCACTTCCAGGCTATCATCCAGGACATCATCATCAGCGGCAGCCGCCAATCAATGAACTACCGCCGCAACCGTCGACTATCTTAAACAAATGGATCCGTGAGGTAGTGATGGACACCACAAACAACACTGGTATCGGTGTTGTGGTGCCGAAACAGGCGCCTGCCGTCCAATCAAATCGTACGATGCGTTTGGATTACGTAATAATACGTGACCCGCGATCGTACAGCCACTTGACGGTCATTCGCCGCCGGAAAATGTCTAAACATAAACGTATGAAATGGCGTAAGAAGATGGTAGCCATGCTTAAGAAGAAGAATTTGAAGAAAAATATAATGAAAGAAAAGGTATTCAGAGCGGAACTGTTGGCCCAAATCAAAGAAGCCGAAGATTTTGATCCGGAACTGTATGTCAACAATATATTGGATACAATAGATCGTCAGCCGAAAGACATAACCAAAGAAGAATATTTCGAACACATCAGGAATTTGATCCGAAAGAATCGTAAAGAAACTAATTTTATTGTCGAAAACTAATTGATTGATTGATTGATTTGATTTGATCGGGGAATAGTCATCGGCGGTAGTGTTGTTGTTGGCAGATATTGGCCACAGTTTTTTTGATGAACCAATAATTAGATAACTTGTAGTTTATTATTATTATTATTATTATTATATAATATATACTGTATATGACATCAATGTCTGTTTAATAAATTTTTTTGTTTGTTTAGTAATAATCTAATCATTATTTTCTATTCAAATAAATAAATAAAAAAAATATATAAATAAAAATTTTTAAACTTTTTTTTTTGTTTCTATGTTTAGTTAGTGAATTAAAATTTTAAAAAATTAATGTATAAATTCTAGTTATTATTATTATTATGAAAAAAATTAAATTATATAATTAATTGAAACATTAAACATCAATTAGCAGTCATATAGATATATATAATTTGATTGTTAAATATATTATTATTATTTTTTTGGTAGTAATTGTATGCAAATTGTTATATATATTATTATTATTATAGTTATAACAATTTGCATACAATTACTACCAAAAAAATAATAATAATATATTTAACAATCAAATTATATATATTATAGATATACTGTATTTATAGATATATATATATATATAGATATATATATAGATATTTATATGTATGACCGCGACTAAGTTTAATATTATGATATTTATAGTATATTAATTTACAAACAAAAAAAACAATACAATTTATTATCAAATTTTATATAACACTATTAAATAAAATAAATATTGTTTAAACATTAAAAATTAAAAAAAATAATTTTAAATTTCTTAATTTATAATTAATACTTAAAAATATTTACATTATACTATTGGATAAAAATAATAAAATTATAAATAAAAATATAATTAGAAATTTAATAAAAATAAATACTTGATTACTTTTTTCTATATTTTTTTATATAAATATTACAAAAATTAATTAATTAATTAATTAATAAAGAATATAATAATGTAATTTTAAAAAGTTAACAAACATTGAAATTAATAATTTATTTACCTATTAGTGTATTAAGATTTTTTATTTATAAAATTTATTTTGTATATATATATATTTTTTTTTTAAAAAAAGCATTATAATTTTTTGTTGATTTATTTTTTAAATAATTATTTAACTAAAGAGTGACATATATTTAAAAAAAATAGTTTTAGATATTTAAATCAAATATATTTGATTACAATTATGAATAATTATGACTAATAGTAATATTTACAAAACATATTAAGAAAGTTTGTTAAACTAAAAATTTATAAACAAATAAAAGTTTGAATTTTTCATAAACAATAAGTTGTTAATTAATATTATTTTTTAAAAATTTTACTATTAATATAACTAATAAATATTTATAAATGTATTGATAATTTTAAGTGTAGTTAAAAAAATATATAAGAAAATTTATTGAACTAAAAATTATTTTGTTATTTTTTCAAAAAAAAAATCAATTAATAATAAAATATTTCATAAGCATATTCAATATTGTTTTATAATGTATTAGTGAAAATTATATAAATAATATATTATAAAATACTTTTATATAACTTTAACTAAATTAATAGTTTTTATTTTATTTTTTAATTAAAGAAAATAATATATATGAGACCAGTTGTTATCATAACATAATTTATAAACAATTATGTTATGAATTTATTTTGTTTGAAAAATTCAATTAATAATTTAAATGTAAATAAAAATTTGTTTTTTTAGATGATAATTTCTAAAATAAAATCAACAATTATTAATATATATATATATATAAATTGATTAATTAGAAAAATATTTCCCCCCTGTTATACAATAATATATATATTAATATCAAATGTTAAAATCAATTAGTAGAGTATTACTGGATATTAATTAAACTATAAATATTTATTACAATAACAATATACACACAATATATATATATATAGCTGTATATAAATTAATAGTTTATAGTTAATAGAAAATATGAGACATTTTTTGCAACAAAAATTATATTGAAAAAAAAACAGTTATGTTATGATTTTGAAAAAATTCAAACCAATAGTTTGAATGTAAATAACGAATTGTTTTTTTTAAATAACAAATTCTTTAACAAAAACAACAAATTATTAATAATACATAAATATAAAATGTATAATCAATTTGTATTTAAAACAATTCATAATAACTTTACTTAAAGTTAGTTTAGTTTTATATATATACTGTAAGTAACAGTAAATAATTTATATTATATATATATTTATTAATAATTTATAGCTAAACTTAATACAATAATAATATTCAACTAATTTACTGTTAATACAGTATATTTAAAAATATATATTTAATTCATATATATATATATATATATATATATATATATATATATATATATATATATATATATATATATAAATCATACATATAATATATATATATATATATATATACTTTATATTAGAGGTAAGTTTATATTAAATATTTTTATAGAATAATAATTATTTAAGTATTTAATTTTTAATATATTAGCTAATGTGAGAAATATATTACTATAAATAAGTTTTAATAACAAACTAATATCACATATCAACTATTGGTCGTATAATTTAACACAAAAAGCATAACAACTGTGAGTAAAATATAATTTTATTATTTTTTGATTTAAAAAAAACAATAATTAAATTTTACTATAAAATAACAAACATTTTTTTATAGACTCCAAAAAAAAATAAATATGACAACTAATATCAACATTGATATCTTGAATATTACATCAATTACTAATGAAACAATCGATACTAATAATAACGAAATACAATTTAGCGATAATATAGTAACTAATTGTAAGAAACATTTTTATCAAAAAAAAAATCAATTAATAGTTAATTAACAAATTAATTAATTAGTTAATTAATTTTTTTAAAACAGATCCTATAGATGTCAAAATCAATGTCAAATTACACTTGTCTTATGCATAGTAATGGCATTAATGTTAATATCGGCGATAGTTGTCATCATTTATCGCAAACATACAGTAATTACTGCATAAAAATTTCGGACAAACTATTAGTGATAGAAATGATCAGACAATTGATTGATGACAACAATGACAACAACATCAGTTGTGGACCAAACAATTTGATTGAACTTCAGATACGACAACAACAACAACAACAACAACAACAACAACAACAACATATGGATTGAAAGATCAAATCATATGAATAAAAAAAAAATGTTTGATATTTCATATAATACTTTATAAAAAAAATATTTTATAAAACTTAAAAGGTATTGTATTTGTTTATAATAATTGAAATTAAAATAATAATAATAATAATAATACTAATAATAATCAAATTTATTGTTTATAAAATGTTTAGAAATTTTTATACATTTTTTTTGGTGCTTGTATTACAATTAATAAATTATCTACATTTTAATATATTGATTATTGCTGATTATAATATACCTATAATATATAGTGAATAAAAATTAGTTATTATTATAGAATTAAATTTAGTAATTAAAATAATAAAAAATAAAATACATTTAAAAAAAATTAATTTTTGTTTGTTAAAACAATTTTAATTTATATAAATAATTTTTTTTAAAAAAAAATATTATAATAAAAAAAACAAACAAAATACACAATAGTATTACATATATTATAACATATATTGTTTAAAACAGTATTAACAATCCAATCAATAAATTTTGATATACGTATTAATAGCATTTGTGTAGTGGGGTCGGGATTAAAACAATAACTAAGAGTAATGTAACTTAATATTTAATATATTATTATATGTTTTTTATTATCAAAAGTATATCACTTTTAAAAAAAATAATAGTGTTTTGATCAGGGTTTTAAGAAAATAAATGCCTGCCCTGGCAATGCCCAAATAGATGCCATAAATGCCTGGCATTTTGGGCATCTATTTTATTTGCCTGCCAATTTAAATTGCTAAAAAGCAAATGTATTTATAAAAATAATGTAATTTAGTGTTTTAACGTGTTAAATAAATTTGCTTATTTCCAATGATTTTATCTTTTAATTAAAGGTATACAAAACAAAAATACATTATAAAAACAATGTTTTATAAATTAATTAATAATATAAAATTTAAATAATAGGTGTCACCACATGAAAATAGATGCCCAGGGCATGGCAGAGAGAGGGCAGGCATTTGGCAAAATTGGCATCTATTGTTTATGCCTGCCATTTTTAAAACCCTGGTTTTGATACAAAATTTTCTACAATTTTGTTTTTTTTAAAAACGTATTATTGATAGTACTGTATGTTTAAACTATTGAAGGCATACATTCATACACTCAAAGCTCAGTCAAATAAAATAAAACTTAAGTATCAATATTACTAAAAATAATTGAGAAAAAAAATTAAATAAAATTTTATATAATACATTAAGTTATTTATTTTTAAAATAATTTAATTAAATCTATTATTATATTTTATTAGAAATAAATATATATATAAATATTATTTAATTGAAATTAAAATCATGCTATAGTATATCATAGTTAGTAAACTATTGTTGTTTTTTACAGTATAATTATATTGCATTATGTTGATGTATACTAAAGATAACAGTCCTATTGACTGTTATCTGTTTGCTTATTATGCATATTAGTTTTAATATAAAATAATACTGATTAAGCAAATATAAAATTAAATACTCATTATTAAATAAATACTAAAATAATACTGTACTTGTATTTTTGCACTTAAAAATACTGTTAATTAATATATAGGTTTTTACGGCTTTTTTTTGTAGTAATACTATGTAATACTTTTGTTATATTACAATTTTAAATACTATTATTTTAATACTTATTGTTATTGTTGTTAATTACTATAATTTAATATTGTTGTGGTTTATTAGTGACTAGTGTTGTGCGTTAATACTGAATTTAATACTATTAGATATTTAAGGGTTAATACTATTTTGGTTTCAATACATTGTAAAACAATACTAAGGTAAATACTATTGTAATACTGAGTATAATTATTGTTATATATTGTTATTGTTATATATTGTTATTGTTATTATTATTGTTATTATTATTATTATTATTATTATTATTATTATTATTATTATTATTATTATTATTATTATTATTATTATTATTGTATAATTAC